ATATGGGGAGAATCTGAATGCACAGGGGCTTGTTGAGGGGTTCTGGATGCAATGGTAATGGGACTCTGCAGGGGGGTCCTGGCGAAGCTGGTTTGGGCTCAGCGAGGGGGGTCTGGCTGTGAGGGGGATGAAGCTCGGCAGGGAGTCTGGGTGTGGTGGGCTCAGAGGGGTGGGTCCAGATCCAGGGAAGTGGGGCTCAATGGGGTGGGGATCCAGGTGCAGCTGGTTGGGACTTGGTGGGGTGGGGATTTGGGTCCAGGTGCAGGAGAGTGGGCTCATCAGGGGGGCTTCGAAGTGCGGGGGATTGAGGCTCAGCAGGAGGGTCTGGGTATGAGGGGGTCTGGATGGATGGGGGAACAGCTCCCTGTACGGGGATCCTGCAGGTGAGGAGCGATGGGCACAGGAAGTGGACAGGGGGAATTTGCAGAACTTCCTGCTGCTGGGGGAGAAATCTAGGGGTGGGTCTGACCGGCCCCAGATGCTGTGCAGGGGAAGAGGAAGTCCTGTCCTCCCCAGCCCTGCTGGGAATAGTAGCTGAGCCTGGCACAGGGTAGGAGCTGGGTCTTCCCCAGTCCTGGCCCCAGCCCCCCAGTGATTTATCTCTCTGACATCTGCTCTGGACACCCGGAACACGCTGCTGGGGAGGGTCGCATGACTGCTCTTGTGGCTTCTCTTTGCTTCCCCAACAGAGAGTCATTTTTCTGAGGGGAGGCAAAGAAATCAGCTGGGGACATAAATTCTGCCCATGCGCAGTGGCGCATAATTCCCCCAGGAGTATGTCTTGAATCTTCTCTGTTTTTCTTATCTGTGGGTGGCAACTTGCTTGTGGTACGGTGCTGTGCTTGAGTAGGGTAACCGGGGGGGGTGTAAGGGCTGCTCACTTCTGAGTGTTTGGAGCACTTTGAAGTGCTCTTCTTTCTATTTCTACAAAATTATAGTAGAAAACTCCTCTTCTGGGCTTGTTTAGATTCAAGGTTGGTTGCTGTCACCCTTTGATTGGCTTGATGCATTAATTAATGGCTTAGGTGACACATTCAGCTCCTGTATATGCAATGTTTCTTTAATTGCCTTTGTTCTTCTTGTGGTGGAAAAAGTCAGGTCACTTTTTTAAAATTTAGTTTTGTCTTTCTTTTCATTCAGTCCATTTTCGCAAAAAAAAATTTCAATTTTTTTTTAAGAATTAGCCTGGAATTAAAATTCTATTTTCAAAATGTCCAAATACTTCTGTTCTTTGTATACAAGGTTTTAGTTCTCAAAACAGACTTTTAAAATTAAATAACTTTTATAATATCTAGAACTTGAGTGTTGATCCTATATGACAATTTTTGGAATGATTATTTTCTTTTCCTGCGTTAGGTGAGGGCTTGCTTGTGCACTGCCATAAATTAATTCCCTAATAATATAAAAATTCTATACTTAAATGGTTTCTTACATTAGCAATTAATTTAGCATCAAATAACCTTGCTCTATTTCTATAGAAAACATCTTACTATTCTACTCCTGGTGGAATTCTGCGCCAAAAAAATAAAAATTCTTTCCACAATATTTTAAAATTCTGCAAAATTCTGCATATTTTATTTGTCAAAATAACACAATATAATCACACCAGTTTCAATTATTTTTGGTCATTTATTTCAAAATATCTGTCAGCAAGTATGTCTGCAACAATACAGACAACAAAAAAGATTCAGGAAATGTTTTTTGACAAATTGATTCCTTACTAGCCATATTAATACAGAACTCTGAGTAATAATTTATTTAAACTACAATACAGAGCCATAGTTCCCACACCCCTCAGAAGCAGTGCAAAGGCTTGGGGGAGTCAGGGGTAACGGAGGGAAGTAAATTGCTGGGAAGGAGCCTGGGTGTGAACTTGGAGGGCTGTTGGGTATGGGTGGGAAAAGCACGGAACAGGTTTTTTGGGGGAAGTGGGGAGAGATTGTTAGGGAGCTTCCCCGATGCAGACCCTGGCTGATCTCTAACCTCTCCCATTCAGTCAGGCACATCTGCCCCTGTCCCCATGTGTCTCTGTGCCCTCACCCAGCCACTCCCCTGTCCCTATGTAGCTCTGCACCCCTCCCCCATCACCATGCGTCTCTGGGCCCTCCTCCAGCCACTCCACTGTCCCTATGTAGCTCTGTCCCACCACCACCTGTCCCCATCTGAATCTGCATTTCCCTCCCTCCATGGCCCTGTGCCTCCGCTCCCATCCAGCCCCTTCCCATGTCTGTCCTCTCCCACTAGCCCTTATGAGCCCCTGTCTGATACACCCCCCCCCCACACACACAGTCCCTGTCTCCTGACCTGACCTGACAAGCGCTGTGAAGGCAGCCCTCTCTCTTCCCTCGCTGGCGAGGAGCTGCAACTTTGTTCTATCCCCACTGCACCCTCTGGTGGGCAAAAGGCGGAACTGCAGCAACATTTTGGCAGATGCTTTTTTTCTGTGCAAAAAATTAGAAATCTGCAGGGCTCATTAAATGTGCGCACGCGCAGTGGCACAAATTTCCCCCAGGAGTACTATTCATATAACGATGATATCAGGCAGTTATTGTATGAAAACTTTCGTTCAAATAAAAAAAGATGCTTATGCCATCATAGGAAATAACGAAGGCTTTTATCTTTTAAGTGGAATAATGAGTTGGAAGTATTTAGTATTTTCTATAAAACACTTCCTACTATACATGTTCTCCAGGTTTAAAGAGTGGAGACTTTAGTGTGTTTACAAAAGAAATCAGTTTCATTAAGGCTGTTTCTTGAATACTTTGTGAGAGTTTAAACTCAGGTTTTTCTTTGAAAAGAGAGGTGAGGATTGCTGATACAGGCTCATTTTATAACCTAGATTTATGGCTCTTATAACACACCTTTTTACAATTAGGTTTCTTCCTAAAAGTGTTTTTGAGGTTTGTCTGCTTGATGTTTGCTTGTCCTTGAGAGAGAGAAGCAGAAACCTTTGATTAGGTTTAACATTTGGTAATATGCCTACCTAAATGTATGCATTTGTTGTATTTCCAATCATCCTGGCTGTAACATTCTAGTAGCTATAGTTTAATGTTTAGTAAATGTGCAAACCAACTTTGTAACAACCTAATAAAAATAAGTTTTATAATAAATTTATTAATATTTTTGCATCGATATTGAGTTCTCTCCCCCCCAGTCTGAAAATGGTCACCTGATTCGTGAGTTGACTGAGCTCAGAAGGTGGGGAAGGAAATGAGAAAGGGGTAGCGGATCTCCAAGAAGTACTGCAAGTAAAATGGATACAGGTGTCATGTTCAGAGTTCTGTCATGAAACTAACTGAAAAACCAAAAAATCCACTATATAGCATCAGTTGACACTCCAATGATTCATCAGTAGAGTTGAAACCTTTAGATCTACTGCACAGACCTCTGCCTCTTGAACAAATGGAATAACTGATAGCAGAAGTAGTAGGTTGTCATCCTCTTATATAGACCAGCACGAGATAGGGATGGGACACTTTGCCAGTGTGTTTCACAGATATTTGCTGATAACGGAGGAATGGTGAGACTCAAGAATCTTGAATTCCTTTCCAGGCTCTGGAGGGGAGTATGTTCTGACACGCACAGATTCTTCTGCCTGTTCCCTTCCCCAAACGTGACATCTTTTCCATCTCTTCCTCACCTCTGGCTCCTGTCTCATTCTCTTTCCCTACCTAGTCCCAGTCTCTGCCTCTCAAATTTCTCCTAGTTTCCTTGCCCAGCCAGTCCCAGTTGAGAGGATAGAGCATGCTCAGATGCCCTGGCGATGGTGCATGTGCAGTCTGGTCAGTTTTAGCAGCTGTGAGAGGCTTGCGTGTGCTCAGTGAGGATAGAAGCTTCTTTGATTTTAGCCATTAAAATGAAGCCTTTACTGACCATTGGTGAACTGTGACTTTTTTTCACAGTCTTACAACTTAGCCAACTTTGGGCAGATTTTCATGAGGATGACAAAAGGCACATCCTTGACACGCAGGCCACCCCCTGCCAAATTTCAGGTCCCTGCTCCAAAGTGTGGGGGTGATAGAACTTCACAAAGAAAAGGTCATTAGAATTTTTAAACCTGGGCAAAACAACGTACTTTTCCCTAGCTGCATTCTTGGAAACAGCTGAACCACTTTAGCTGAAATTTTCCAAAAAAGTCAACCAGTGACAACTACCCGGCATGGAAAATTTCAGCCCAAATGGTTAAAGTTTGGCAAAGTTATGAGCAACTGAAAACAGGATCTTATGATGCAAAGTGTTGGACAACCTTAATAACGCTGCCAGCCCTGCCTGTAATATCAGTTTAGAAAAAGTGCAACATGCTCACTCTGTTTGGTAACTTTCGCATATAACATTTGTACATATCATTTCTTCATGCAGTATTATAAAACAGATAGCCAGAGCTCTAACATAAGATCTTTGAAGGGGGAGGTGGGATTCAATATAAGAATTGTACATTTTTGTTAAACTGAGGAACATTAAAAACACAGTACCAATCCATAAATCCCAAGGTTGTCTGCATCTTTATGTATATGCACAAGGCCAGAATTAGAGAGTCACTGTCAACTTGAAATATAATCACTTACAAAAAAATTCAGGTACTAGACCTAACCCCAAGTTCTACCAGTTTTTGTTTTTAACAACTTGGATTTTTTTGGCTGATGTCCACGTAACTTGTTCAATCATAATAGCAAGAAACTACATGGTAACAATCTGTAAACTTAATCCAGAATATACAGTGTACTTTGCTTTATCAGATTTTTATTAGCATTATTTAACATATTACATCTTGTTGTTTCAGGTATGTAATAGTGTATTTAACAGCTGGGATCAATTTAAAGATCACTTGGTAATACACACAGGAGACAAACCCAACCATTGTACCTTATGTGATTTGTGGTTTATGCAAGGCAGCGAACTGAGAAGGCATCTCAAAGACATTCATAACATTTCAGAACGAATAGTGACAGAGGAGGTTCTTCCAGTGGAAGACGTGGAAACTGAACCAGTGACATCAATGACTATTATAGAACAAGTGGAGCAAGTCCATGTACTACCAGTAATTCAGGTACAAGTGGATCCAGCACAAGTAACTGTGGAACAGGTGCATCCGGATCTGATTCAAGATAATCACGTGAAAGGCACACAGATGGACGATCTGCAAGAACAGGTACAGATTAGTTACGTAGAAGTGGAACACATTCAGACTGAACAAGGTGCTGATGTACAGATGGAGGAGCTACATGTTGAACATGTAAATCAGATACAAATGGAAGAGGTACAGGCAGAACTTATAGATGAAACAGATCTAGAACAAGTGGAGTCTGAAAACATTAATCAGGGAGAGTTAGAAGAGAGCGAAACTGGTGAAATAGGTGATGTGGAGACCGTTAAAGAAGATCATGAACAAGCTGAAGATTTAAAAACTCAACAAATAGTGGACACACAAGATGAGCAAGTGGATGATTAGGACAAATGACTGTACTGTGCAGGTTTAGAGATGAAATACCAAATTATTTTTGTTAAAATTCTACGTTAATTTTTGTACCAACTGTGGTCGGCTCTCCAGCATCGCTGTCCTTAGGAAACCAGAAGGTGGACCAAATTTAGGATATTTCTTATACAATTAAAATCATCCTATTGTACTTTAAAAAGAACTTTTCCCCTTTCATGTAATGCCATGGAGCAAAAACTATCCCAGAGATCAGCAGCTTTATGAGAAGTGTAATAGTTGGTTGAATAGACTGTGTCATTTGCCCCATGTGTGTGCAATTGTTGTCACTGAGAGACTCCCCCTCCTCCCCCATTTACAAGCCCTTGATATATACTTCCAGAGGAAAAGGGATGGGTGGTGGGGTGTGAGTGAGTGAGAGAGATGGCAAAATGCTAGAATATGGGGATTCTAATGTATGCGTCGATATTTAAAGACAGTTGGACCCACTTAGAAAACACACAGATGTTTGTCATCCAGCAGCAGTTCCTTTATAATAGCAGCAATTCTCAATATACTTTTTCCTAATATGAACAGCCTTCTTTCAGCCCACTTTGAAAATGCCAGACTGATGGTAACAAGTATTGTCACTAAAGTTCTTGGAGTGCAAAAAGTCTTGTGCCTTTTCAGAATTGACTAAACTTCCACAAAGCTCCTAGAATGTTTAAGAAGCTAGTGCAGTAAAAGGCAATGTAGATAATGCTATAGTGCTTTATATTTTTGCTTATAATTGTCAGCTACCAATTCTTGCTTTAAATTTAGATGGGGGTAGAACGGAACAAATTACACATTGTGACGATTGTTGAAAGGGCCACTTACAATAGGAAAAAATCAGCTGAATCCATGGTAAATGAAGCGGCTGAAAGATTGTACCATCTTACCACTTCAAATTAAAAATGAATGCATTTAAAAACAGAGAAAATGTGTGTATGATATATCAGGTTCCTGTTTTAAAATGAAATTTTCTCTGACACTTGACATAAAGATCTTGTGCTAAAAAAGAATTAAAGCCATAAGTATGAGTGCTAAACTGTGGATTTAAAAGTAGGAGTGTAAATATTTTAATCAGTATTATTGAACAATAAAACAATACCAACCATGAAAAAACTGTGACATTACTTGCTTCAGTCACTATATATTAGGAAACAAGTGTTTTAGTTTGAGTACTTGTACAGTACAATATATACAGCAGGTAACAATGCAATTCAGTTTAGCTCCAATGTAAAACATTCCCTCTCTTTGCAGTGTAATAAATAACTGGGCTAGATTGTGATCTTGGTAATGACAGTGGAGTTAGTGCAGATCCACTTTGACAGAATAACCCATTACTACACATGGAACTTCATTAAAGGATGTTGGCTTGACTTTTCAAAGGTGGTGGGTACTTTCAGCTACCAATGACTTTAGTGAGATTTGGCACTTCTGAAAATCAGTCCACTTTTTCTCATATCTGAAAACGAAAACTTATACAGATAATTTCTCACAGAATTCTAGCAATCCTGCAGACCCCAGACCTATCTTGTTCATTTTCCTGAAAGTGCAGAATTATTCCCTCTAGTATGCTCTGAAATGCTTTATCTAGTCTCAGTCTAATGCTTGCTATCTGCTACCATTTCCCTTGAGTGAATATTCCACAGTAAACAGGGATATATTTAAGGTTCTGAAACATAACTTGAGACAACATATAGTGGGTGCGCTCTTTCTATTTATGCTGCTTTATACCCCTAACATTATAATTGTCTCTCTTTTTTAAAAAACAGGAGATAATCAGTGGGGTTGTGTAGATATAACTGAGGGCAGAACTTGGCTTATTGCTCTTCACAAAAGAGTAGAAAAAGGAGTCAAACAAGTGTTAATCTCCAATTTAGGGTTTCTGTCAAATCACTGCAATCAGCTTCCATTAATTTTTAACTGAAAGTAAGTCATTGATTTTTCTAATGTAAATATTAGGAATATTAAATCTTAGAAACATTAAATAGGTAAGCAGTTAAAACAATCTTCAGAAGTAATCTTTTTGTCAGGATTTATTAAAATACATTGGTGCAGGAGCTTTTAAAATTATTTTCTAGTAACCGCCAGAAAAAAATATATACAGTAAAGAGACAAAAATGAATATTTATAATGGCAGCCTAAATGTTGATTTGTTTGGTAGATATTTGTGCTAGTTCCCGTGACCATGTAAAAATGGCAAAGTGTTATATATGATCAGCATGTGCAATGTAAGGAGTCTCCTAGTACTGCTAACATGAATTGTTTGTTTTTAATTAATGACTGTAGTAGAGAAGTTTGAAATGAAACTAAAATGAATTCAGGTAAATTGTTGTTCCAGTGTAGATTCAAAAGGTGTACTAGTATCCAGCAGTGAATTTTGGAGAAAGAGCCTGCATAGGTAAGAGTTGTAGGGAGGGGTTTGTCATACACAGAATGTAACACTAAGTCCAGAGGTAGATTCTCCATGAGAGAGTGTAGTGTGTATCTACCCTGTAGCAGGCATCCGCTGAACTCCCACTAGCAGCAGATAGTTTACTAATTTACAGAAATCAAAGGCTGGTCTTGCATGATTTTGTAGGATGTGTAAAAATGACCAGGGCTGCTATCACTTCCCCAGGTCATATGATGCCACCTACCTATATCCTTCACTCACTCCTGCTCTCTAGACCCACATTGCTCTCATTCTTGTTTATCCCCCAGCATATGCTCTTTGCTAATCAACATGCTCCTCCACAGGATAGGGAGCAGATCTCCAGTGGGACACCCTGAAATACCTGATTCAGTGGTGGTGAAAGCAGTGCTCTAGTAATAGAGGCAAGAATCAGGGGGGAAGAAGAAAGGGACTGGTTTGGGTGGGGAAAATTTGAGTGGATAAATGTACAGAACAAAGGGTACTCCTACTTACATTTTTCCATAATATAAGAACAAAGAAGATGCATGAAATAAAGGCAGCTAATTTTCAAATTAAGGAAAGTAAATACACTTATGTAATGCATAACCAGTATGGGGAATGGATTAGTACTAGAGCTGAGTTAAAGAACCTAGTAGAATTCAAGAAAAAAATTGACATTAATTTGGAATAACAGACCACAGTCATATTAGGCTAAAACAAAAATTAAAGATGTATAACCTCATCCTGTAGATCAAAAACTGGTAATTGAGGGGAATAGGAGAAAGTTCACTTGAGGGAAGGTAATCCATCACATCCCTCTGTCAGGTTTCTTGTATCCTCCTGCAAAGTTACAAAATATCTGTCAAGTAGATGGACTACAGTGTGACCCAGTATGGCAATTTGTGTTACTACGTAGGGACAAAGGGAAGATGGGAGAAGAGAGAGATGTCAAGAAAAAAATCTTCAGAGGTGCCTACCTCAGCTTAAAACTCCAGTGATATCCCCCACGCCCCTCAACAAAATTTAACATACATTCTCCACCCCTTCTTTCTGTTGTATCTATGTAATTAAAGATTATTGTAACGCAGAAGCACAAGGAGTCTGAATGAAGATTACACAGGCAACCTTAATTCTGGTATTTTTTTAACTTTTGGGGGCTTGACTTTGCATCCTTGATGTTCTTTTAATGTAGGGTTTCAGTTTGGTGGGTTTTTTTTTGTTTTGTTTTATGTAACTTCCTGGGTTTTTAACAAAGCAAATAGAAATTCAATCATAGTAACATGATTCTGTGGCAGGGTTGGAACCTTGAGTTCCACCGTACAGACCACGGCCTGGTGAGATAAGAGTAATGCTAGCAGCAGTAGGCTATTATCCTCTGTGTGGGCCAGTCACTAGAGGGCAATGAGAGCAACATTTTCCCACCAAGTTTCACAATTGTTTGTTGACAGCAGAGGAATGTTGAGACTCAGGAAAGCTGGGTTCCAGATCAGTTCTGAAGGCAGTGTATTCTAGTGGTTACAGACTCTTCTGCCCCTCTCCCTCCACCCTGTCCTTCCCACACCCACAGCTGTCCTGTTTGGTAGGACAAATCGGGGCAACTGCTCCAGGCCCTTTGCTTTGGGTGGCCCCATGGGCCAGTGCGATTGGACGGCACAGTGGGTCCTGGAAGAGACGAATCCATCGCTTCTGCCCTGGGCCCCGCGCTCCCGTAGGGATGGCCCTGCCCACACTCTATCTAGCTTTTTGGCCCAGCCTTCACCACAACCCTACTCCCAGGAAAGGCTCCTCACAGCTCTGAATTCCAGTCAGGCTGTTTTCTTGCAGCCTGGGCTCAGCAGATTAGCAGTGGGAGCACAGGAGAATGAAAGCAGAGGAATTCTATTATTGTGCCCAGTGCTATAGCAGTGCTTGGCTGTTAGGAGGAGCAATTCCAGGATAACTCCTAACTCCTGCAGCCGTAGGATGGAGTAAACTGAGCACAGATTGAATCCTCTGAGTATTAAGTCTGAGCATGCGTGAATTGAAATTTTCACAGGGTCATAACTTGACCAAATGTGGGAGGATTTTCCTGGGCACGGCAAAAGAGCCAACCCTGACGCCAGCGCGCACACATCCCTGCTCTCCCACATCACAACCGCATGTCAAGTCCCTGCTCCAAAGGATGGAGGCAGCAGGCCTTCTCAACAAACTATGAGAATTTTTCTAATATAGCAAAACTATTTTTTCCCCAACATTGTTCTGAGAAACAGCTGGCCTGTTTTTGTTGAAATTTTCCAAAAATTTCAGTGTGAGACAGACACTAAGCATGAGATTCTAAACAGACAGGAGACTGGTGTATTGTTCTTTTCTTTTAACCCCAAAGCTTAACACTTTTATGAGCAACTGAAAACAAGGTCTGAGAAGGTGTTGGACAACTTTAACTGAAAGCATCACTACCTGCTTCACCTATAGTATATACGCTCCCACCATTTATAGAGCCTCAGTGAGCAACCTGGGCTTAAAACTGCAGCAGATACCTGTTACCAGAACTCCTAAAGCTATGCTAGGGCATATGCCTTTGGGGTAGGAAGCAGAAAAGAATGATAGATTTACAAGACTTCTGCAACGTAAACCAACCACTCTTTTGTGGGTGCTGTCTAAACCCTCTATTGTATTGTAAACACAAAGTGAACTACATGCACCTGTAACTATGTGATTTGTAGCCCTAGTCAGTAGTGCAAGAATCCTGATTTTGCATACAATGCAAGTGTGAGTGCCAATTTTGTAAACTCAAGTTGTACCCATGAAAACGAGGCCACAATTTTGAAAAAAATTCTCTTTGCCTGAGTTTCCTTATCTATAAAATGGGGCTAATACCTATTTATCCATGTTAAGGGATTGTTGCCAGGATGAATTAATTTTTTTAATGAAAAGTGTTATTTATTATTAGACTGTTGGGGTGTTTTGGGTTCCCCGAATCAACCCAAAACTGATCTTTAGTCGTAGTCCCTGAAACTCTTGATGAAGCCCACTGAGTTAAATGAATGCAGTACCATGACTACCGTGTTTCCCCTTGCCTAGAAAGAGTTGCCTATGTAATGTAAAGAGAGCGAGCGGAGCTGTCCAAGGTTGTAAAGGAAAACAGCGGCTCGCTGGCTAATTGCATTGTAGTTTTTTAAAGCACCTGTTTCCCCCACCCCCTGAGTAGCGCTGCCCAGATGCCCCTGATCTTGGTCCTCCTTGAGTCCAACGCGTTTCACCAGCTGCCAGCCGGGGCTCCCCGCGCGGCGAGCGCCCTGCAGTCGCCAGGCGGGCTGTGTGGTATGCTCCTAACCCATCTCGCCGCTCCTGGGCTTGGCTAGGTCCGCCTCCCGCAGCCCGGGGGCCGCCTCCCGCTGCCGCCAATCAAAGCCGAAGGGCGCTTCCCACCGCGGAGCGGGTGCAAAGGCGGCTGGCTCCCCGCTACCTTGGCAGCGGTGCTGCTGCACGGTGCCCCCCCGGGCTCCGCTTCGCCATGTCCCGCGCGCGGCCCTCGGCCTTCCCCGGGGGCTGCCGCTCGAGAAGCTAGCCCAGCCTTCCGCTGCCCCGGCGGCCCGCCCTCCCCAGGGCCCTGCCCCCTGCCGCCCAGAGCTCCTCCCGCCAGCCCTTGTCCCTCGCAGCTCTGGTCCCCTCCCTCCCCGCGGCGCGCGAGCAGCCTGGTGCCCCCGCCCGGCAGGGGGCTGCAATGAGTGCCCCGCGCGGAGCCCCGCCTGGGGCAGCCCTGCAGCCTGGCAGCCTCTCTCCGCAGGTAAGGTGACCGGGGGCAGCGCTCCATTAACCTGGGATGAGAAGGGAGGATGGGTGGAGCAGCCCCCCAAGTGCAGGGAAGGTGAGGGGGCGGGAGGCTGGAGAAGAATGGGTGTGTAGGAGGGGTGCTGGGGCGTATCTGTAAATGGAGGGGCTGGATAGGTTTGGGGTAGAGGCAGCAAAGGCTGTGGGGGAGGTAAGGGGATGCGTGGGGAGATGTTGGGATATAGGAGGTGTAGAGGATTTGGAAGGGTGTGGGGAGAGACTGAATGGAGAGTTTATGCACACCCTGCAAAACTTTCAGATGTATTTCAAACAGTCCATTGTTATGTGTTAGCATATTGAGATGTAATTAATAAAATAAAAAGTTTGCTGCCCTTAGGATGCCCAGACATCCCAATATTAGGGGCTTTGTCTTATATAGGCAGCTATACCCCGGAAAAACAAAGTGTCCGGATTTTTCACACTTGCTATCTGGTCACCCTAGCTGCCCTTATGGGGCTTGCTGATGTCGTTGCCTCTAGTATCCCTGGCTGCAGCATGTTCCACAGCCTGTATAACAAGCCAAGCATGCCTAGCGTTTGTGGAGTCAGAGGGAGACCAGGTAGCCTCTTTCAATGGACCAATTTCTGTTGGTGAGAGAGACAAGCTTTCGAGCATACACGGAGCTCTTCTTCAGGTCATTTGTGAAGTCATGTTTTTCCTACAGAAAACTTAAAGGAGACTGTTGGCCTGATATTGCTTTAGTTCTACAAAGCATTTTTGAGATGTTTATTCATCTGCAGTCTAGGGCCCACTTGTTCTGGTGGAGTGTGGCGGCTGCTTTGCACTGTCCCATCAGTACAAAGCAGCCTAAAGCTCGCAGAGCCAACCCAGGTGGGAGGATGGAATATCTCCCTAGCATAGGGGGAAATCTCTGATGGCCTAGAGCTGGCATAGTTGCTGCTGTCCTGTCCTCCTTCCCTGATGCTGACATCAAGGGCATGATCAAGGTTTTCTTACCCCCCTCCGACTCCCGCTGCAGTATGGGATCCGTAGAGTAGTTATGGACTCCCCCAATAGATAACAAAGGGTCTGAACCAGCACACAGCCAGCCTAGTATTGGAGGAGCGCAAAGGCCACCTTTTGCATGTCCTCCTCCTGAGCTGAGCTGTGTCCCTCTCAGACATAGTTGAGGGTCTGGGCCTATAAATGTATCAAAGAAGAAAAGTGTGTTTATGTTGTAGCAGCGGGTGGCTGCAATCATTATAGTAGAGTTCTTTAATCGTTTCCATTCTCAACCTCTGTCTTCATCTTACACCTTTCTGTAAGTTCCACCTTTTCGGCTGAAATATCAGGGCATCGCCTCTGCCCCCCATTGATTTTCTGTGCAAAATATTTGAGCAAAAACAGTTCAGCTGTATTTGAAAATGAGAATGAAAATACTACTTTCCTCACTATTAAAATGGAACAGTACTACATTTGGAACCTGCACCTGAAATGTGACATGCAAATAGACCCGCTTGAGGAGAAATGCCTTTGGGTGTTCCTGGGAAATTTGGTTTTGATCAAAAATTGTTTTTTCATGTGACTGAGTTAAAACCCTTTTAAGGTCACATTCTGCTCAGGCACACATTGGCTGTTTCTTGAGTGTTGGCTTTTCCTTTGCTAATCTTGTAAAATGAACATTTGAGGAAGCGGGCTATGTGTTCTGCATGGCTAACTTAGCTGCCTATTGAAAAGAAATCTGTACATAAACCAAGGAAGGAGCTCCACATTATCCCTTTCTCCAGCTACTTGTGCAATGCCTTGCTAAAGTGCACCATAAGGGAGTGAGCTGCTATGGTCCCTCGCAGCTTTCCCCCTGGAGTAGGATCCTGTCAACAGGACTTGGAACTCTGCTGGACAAGCACTTTCTTGCGAGAGCCTCCCATTCCCACAGTCTCCTCACTATGTCTCATAGAGTTCCTGTGACAGTGGCAAAGGACGGCTTCTGTGAGCCATATAAGGGGCACTGGATGAATCCTTGCTCTGCCATACCTTAAGGTCTCTCCATCTGACAAAGGCATAAGGTTCCTTGAATATGCAAGAGAGGAGCTCTCCCAAGGTGTATGGGACGGACTGTTCCAGCAGGCTTCTGCTAACTTGTTTCAGATAATGGATTTTACCCACATTATTGTCAGTTTTCATTGACCCAATAGAGCTAGTCAGTTTTGAAAATCCTGGCCACAATACATTAGTGTTTATGAAAATATGAATGTAAATACCATAGAAATAAGAGAAAGTATCTTATACAAGGTTTAAGTCAATAATGACATAGAGCAGGATTATGAGAATGAAGCTAATGAAAGAAGAATGAAAAACAATTGCAAGATAATATCTGTGAGAATCTACAGTTGGAGGGAAAATGGCACTGTGTATTGTCTGTGATGCAGTATATGATTTAATTACAGATTATACTGTAATGCGTACAAGGGGACAGTAACTTTAGAGTGCTTAATCGTGAATCTTTAATGGTCTAACATGGTATTTTTTGTATGTAATAGCAATCCTTCCCCCTATGTTTCTATTTTAATTTTCTTAGTCGTATAAAATAACTTAGGGGGTGAACCAAAGCTCCTTGAAATGATTGGAAAGATTCCCGTTCACTTCAATAGGCATTGGATCAACTTCCTTTTGTCTGTTCATCTGGAGACTCTGGACAATGGAAATACTTTGTTGTTTTAGTAGTTGTTTGGTGCTGTCACAAAAAAAAAAAGAAAGATCTGGAGTAAAACCTTTTTTCTAAAGGGTACCTAACAATTTTATGTCAAATTTCTAATGACTCACATAAGACTAATACCTTACTCCACAAGTAGTCCTGCTGATTAAATGGAACTATTTTATGCAATAAGGTGGCACTCTAGTTCTCAGATTTTTCTTTCACAACTCTGAGGTTGTGTTATGAATCCTCCTTGTTAGGCGGAGCAGAATTAAAAGTAAATATTGTCTAAAACAAACTGAACAAAAATATCTTTCCCTTTGCCCTATGCCAACCTAAGTTTTAAAAAAAAAATGCTGCAAATAATCTGACCATGGGTACTTAAAAAAATCTGTACAATATATTCCCACATGCTGTGCTTAACTTTAGAATCCAGTACTATAATCTATAATAAACACATTTCTAGGTTGCTCAGTTTTCATCTACAATCTAAGTATTTTGGGGTAGCATTCCTTTATCTCTTATAGAATTACTGATCTTTGGCCCCTGTAAACCAGATAAAATGATTGTTTTCCTGACAAGATTTGCCTCTTCTGTTTCTGCAAGGTGACTAGTATATACATTTCCTTTGTATTACAGTACATGATATCATAATGAAATATTTCCACATTTTTCATTTGTATCCACATTTATCTATTTATAATGGTTATACTGTCTCTGCTTGAGGCTTTATCCAGCACTTCAATTCCCTTCCTCCTTCCTTTCCCCTGACATTTTCTGAGTTACAGAACAATTTAGGAGATTGGCCAATCGCATTCAGAGCATCGCTTCATTTACAATTGACATTCTGAAGAGACATCTAAGCAGTGTTCTTTGACTGTGGCTTATACTTTGCTTTTACTGTTGTTCATATGGAGAAAAAGAAAGTGCACCCAAATCTCTTCAAGCTATCTGTGATGTAATATTCCAGAGAGTGGACAGAATCATTTTTGGATGTTTTTCTACTTTTTTAAATATTGATTTCAATTACAACACAGAATACAAAGTGTACAGTGCTCACTTCATATTATTATTTCTGATTACAAATATTTGCACTGTAAAAAGGATAAAAGAAATAGTATTTTTCAATTCACCTCATACAAGTAACATAGTGCAATCTCTTGTATCGTGAAAGTGCAGCTTACAAATGTAGAATTATTATTATTATTATTATTATTATTATTATTTTTACAAAGCTGCACTTAGAAACAAAACAATGTAAATCTTTAGAGCCTACAAGTCCACTCAGTCCTACTTTTTGTTCAACCAATCACTAAGACAAATGAGTTTGTTTACATTTACGGGAGATAATGCTGCTTGCTTCTTATTGACAATGTCACCTGAAAGTGAGAACAGGCATTCGCATGACACTGTTGTAGCCGGTGTTGCAAAGTATTTACTTGCCAGATATGCTAAACATTTGTATGCCCCTTGATGCTTTGACTTGTAGGCTCTAAAGTTTTACATTGTTTTGTTTTTGAGTGCATTGTTTTGTTTTTGAGTTATGTAACAAAAAAAAATTCTACATTTGTAAGTTGCACTTTCATGATAAAGAGATTGCACTACAGTACTTGTATGACGTTTATTGAAAAATACTATTTGTTTTGTTGATCTTTTTTTCAGTGCAAATATTTGTAATCTGAAATAATAATATAAAGTGAGCACTGAACACTTTGTATTCTGTGTTGTAATAGAAATCAATACATTTGAAAATGTAGAAAAACATCCTGATTAGATTTATAAAATGATAAGAGCCTGTCTGAATGCTCTATTTCAAAATACGAATAATCTCATGGAAGTAAATTATAAATATACATTTCAAATAATAACCAAAGATCTCTTTCCTTCCAGTGTTGCTCTTCTCACTGATTGTTAATTGCAATGCATTTGCAAGTACTTTGCTATTTATTAAGGTGTAAAGGGGGCTAGAGATTATACCTATCTAGGTATCTGAAATAAAATCATCCTAAGTATGTCAGTGCTGGTGATAAATCCTGTTAAAGATACATGGAGACAGACTTGTTGAGAGAGGATTAGCAGGATACATTTTCTATTGGTTGTCGTGACAACCATGACTCCATGCAGCTGTAAAGCGGCAT